GGCAGGCCCTGTTGCCTTAGGCAGAACACAGCTATTTTTGTTCACATGTTTGCCATGTTATAAAACACCCCCCACTCAGCTTCTAGGAGGCTAATTACATTACAGAAATGTCATTCCTTGTTATGGTGTCCTGGTTTTCTAATTTGACTTTGCTAAAGGAAATAGATGAAGGAAAGTAGAGAGGAATATGCATGGTGGGGAAAAAGAAGCAGATATCTGATTTGGTGTGATCTTTTATGAGAGTGGTAGGAGTAAAGAGTGGGATGGAAATATGAGCCGTGATAGTTCTGTCCTTTCCAGACTCTAAGCCAAAGCAGCCTTTTTAAGCTTTGGTAGTTAACAGGTATCACTCATCAATAAAATAGAATGCTACATGTTAAGGAAATTTAATATTAAACTTCAGTAATGAAATAGATTTTTGTGTAAAAGTTTATTTAATCAAAGGCATTATATGTGTTTCAAGCCTACTGCTTAGATTAATTCCATTTCCTCTTGCTTCTCTGTCTGTTATAAGGCTAGATGGTTCTGTAATTGACATGGGGAGTGTGGGGGATTTGGGAAGGCAGGAAGGAGAGTGGTATAAGTAGGTTTGAGATTAGTCTATAGGTACAGGTCATCACCCCCTTATTATCTTCTCTCCAATACATCCCATGTAGTAGGGATTTCATCCACAACCCACTTGCACTGAGGCAGTAGAATAGGTTGTCACGAGACCAAAGATAACACCCAGGGGTGGCATGCAAGGTATGTTCTTTGAAAAATTACTAATAAAGAATTTACCTATGGGAAGGTTTTGAGCAGTACCGGTGTCTACAACACTGATATCCAGGTAGTGACAGGCTGGACCAAGAGTACCTTTCTCTCAGTGTCTGGCCAGTAGAGTTTATTCACAACATCACACTGGATGTCAGGTACATGGTGCCTTCTCCTCTACACATCATGCACTTGTCATCTCCCCCATGCTTCTTTACCACCCCAATTATAACAGGAAGAAGTGCTTTAAAGGTTAGTCTATTGAAGCAGTACATAATTAGCATGACTTGGCTTTGTCCTTGAATGACCAGCATTCCAGAGAATACCTGACAGGAAGCAGGTTCTATTCTAGATAATATTAGGTGCCTCAATTCCCTATACTTGTGAGAGAGAATCACAGGCTCTCCAGTTAGTCCTTATGAAAATGATCCACTTTCGGTGACCCTTGATTTGGCAAGAGCTTTGGGAATAAAAAGGGGCATTTCAGGAGTATGGCAGTTGATACTGATGCTCTGTTTTTCTTAAGGACCATAGAAAGTAGCACAACAGCAGTGGGTCAAGAGTGATATGAAGAAATGGAAGCTGATTCTTTACTTCTCTTTTATCCTTTTGCCATTTGACAAACTTAGATATGTCCTTTTCACTTCTTTGGGGCTTTAAAATGTGTGCTTATTTGAGAAATTTGTGAACACTTAGATCAATAGGTACATTGCATTTGTATAGATTTTTTTTAATTTGCCTTAGTTAAATCCCTAATTAAATTTAAATCCTTATTAAGTTAAAATTTTAAAGCCATGGGAAAGAATATGAACTATTCTGGAAGCAAGTATATTGTTGTTGACACAAAGAAAGAAAGAAAGAAAGAAAGAAAGAAAGAAAGAAAGAAAAAGAGAAAGAAAGAGAAAGAAAGAAAAGAAAGAAAGGAAAGAAAGGGGTAGAAGGAAGATAAGGAAAGAAAGAAAGAAGGAAGGAAGGGAAGGAGGGAGGGAGGGACAGAAAGAGGGGACAGGAGGAAAAGAGGAAAGAAGAGACCACTGACTGGCTAGAGTCCTGGAAGGGCAGTAGTTGCACATCCTGTTCCCTCTGGTGCTGTGGGGAAACTTTAGGGGATGGTAGATGAGGCTGTTCTCATCAGTTGCGTTGATGACATTCCTCTTTTTTTGAGGAAGAAGAACCTCCCCAGCATTTGGAAGAACTGAACTGAGAAAGTAGAATTTAGTGGATAAAAATAATCATTTAGAGCCGGGCGCTGGTGGCTCACGCCTGTGATCCTAGGTACTCAAGAGGCTGAGCTCTGAGAATCACGGTTCAAAGCCAGTCCAGGCAGGAAAATCTGCGAGACTCTTATCTCCAATAAACCACTAGAAAACCAGATGTGGCACTGTGGCTCAAGTGGTAAGCACTCGCCTTGAGCTGAAGAGCACAAGAACAACGCCCAAACCCAGAGTTCAAGCCCCACGACCAACAAAAAAATAAAAAATTAATTTAAAGTGCATAGAATATGCTATGCTCAACATAGTAATAGCAAATGGTGTAAGTTTTTCCATAATTTTATTAAAGTAACCAGATTCTGTTTGATATGCTTTTAGAATCAGGATTCAGTCTTAATAATTCAGATAGTATTAATTTCCCTAATTGATGTTTCACTCCTAGGTGATGTAATTTCATATTTTCTAGGGGCTCATTTTAAGTGTGCTCAAACTCACTGAAATCACCTAATGGTAAAGTGGTAGACAAGAAGGAGAAACATATGGGTCCTCGGTGATCATTGGCGATGTAGCATACTGAATTTTAAAAGTGGGATAGTAGTGGTCAAAGAAAACTTTGTCCCTCATAGTTTCCTCCTCTCTACAGCCCAGCCTCCTAGAAGAGAGAAGCATAAGATGTAGGTAAGATGGGAATCAAAATCAAAAGAAACTGGACATCAACCAAGAAGCTTAAATCTTAGCTGAGATCCTCAAAGTCCTTGAAAACTGAGAGAGACTTGCCACCAGAACAAATGAAATTTGGATAAAGGGTATTAAAGTTAACAAAACCAAATCATTGCTTTGACATAACCCTAGTTTACTCTCCTAACCCAATATTCACCAAATAGCAAATATTGGCAACCAATATTTCATTAAAAATGATTCCCCTAAAAACTTTTTGTACAAAATAGGATCTAGAATAGCTCTTAGCTTAATTAAAAGAGAAGAAAAGAATATAAGCAAGAAACAAAGAAAGAACATTTATCAACTGGAAAATTACCCAAGAAACAGGGGCAGGGTTCCAAGTTTTTTTATAGCAAACAGTTGTTCACAGTGTCAGAGCACCTGCAAAGGTTGTGTGTGTGTGTGTGTGTGTGTGTGTGTGAAGATGATATAAGTTAACAGAAAAGATGAACATTTATTTCCAAGAGCTTAGGAAAATAGTAGACAAAAATCAAAACATTACTAATATTGAAATCTCATAGGAGAAAAAATAGAAAATCATATCAGAGAATATCTAAGGAAATATGGATTGAGGCTGTTGTAAAAAACACAGAATGAGCTTAAAATATAAAATAATAAAAAAGTAAAAGTAGGAATAGACAAAATGTGCTAAGAGATTTTCAAAGTCAACTATAGAAAAATGAATATTAGATACAAATTTTTCTTGTAATAGAACACTGCTGTTCAAACATTCTAAAAATGAAAAGATATATATACAATGTCTCAGGAGAAATTATATAGAATAATTAATACCAAAACATTTCCCAAGAATGCTACTAAATTGGAGGGGAAAAAAAGAGCAAATGGACAGCCAAGCAGAGGAGCCATATTCAACATGGAAAAAAGTCTCCAAAGTTTTGAGATTAGAAAAAGAGCATGAATCATTTTTATACCCAGCCATACACTCTTTCAGATATACAGGCAATGGGCAGATCTTCTTAACAGATAAAAATGCAAAAAATAAAGCATACTTGAATCATTTTTTTAAAAGGGCAGGAACTCAAAATTCCAAAGCTATTATCAAGTGGTAGAAAAAAAAAAGCTAATATAATCTATGAACCCTTCATGGATGGTGCCCTAAAGATATGATTTATAAAACATGTGATTTGTTTTACATTTGCTTTTGAGTTGGCTAGCAGATATAACTAGTGGAAATAAGTCCAAAAGAGATGAGAAAAGTCAATAGATATGAGAAACCCATATATTTTATCAGTAAAGCTTTTATATCCATGGGGGAGATTATTTTTATTACTCCCTCTTTGATTTAGATATAAATCACAAAATTATAGCATGTCTTAGAAAAGCACTTTGCTAAAAATTGAAAACATATATTCTAAAACAATTTCCATGGGATTTTAGTAAGCAATTAAATTTGCTGGCTGAACTCAGGCCTTATTTGTGTTCTGAAGGTCTGGGAACAGAAGAGGGGCCCGGTTGGGGATGGGGTGGAGATCTAAGACCAGGATATACTGCCTATTCACCTGAAGATGCTTTGAAACACAACTATGCAGATTCTCCATCATCTATATTTTCATAGCTGTCTGAATTGCAGTGAGCATTCCAGCTACCTACCAGTGCTTTAATCAAACCAAAGATAGGCCACGGGTTGTCCTCAAGTCACTATTTAGTATGGATAGAGTCCATGTCCTAATCAAGAGAAAGCTGCAAGGTTGGCCTAGTAGTGGCCCTCATGAGTGGAGAAGAGAAAATGAGTATCTTACCAGATGCTACAAATTGTGCTAACAAGAATTTTAAAGAAATTAAGTATTATGGGTGTTAGTGGCTCATGCCTATAATCCTGGCTACTCAGGTAACTGAGATTTGAGGATTGAGGTTGAAAGCCAGTCCTGGTGAACAAATACTCAAGATTCTTATCTCCAGTTAACCAAGAGCTATAACTAGAGGCATGACTCAAGTAGTAGAATATCTATCACCCATTAGTGAAAAGGCTGAGCAAGAGCACAAACCCTGAGTTCAAGCCCCAGAAGTAGCACAAAAAAAGAAAGAGAGAAAAAAAGAGAGAGGGATAGGAAGGAAAGAAGGAAGGAAGGAAAAAGAGATGAAAGAGGAAATAAAGTATTTTTACCAGGGTTGTCTGCCCTAAGGTTGTCTGTCACAAGGTAAAGGATGGTGGCTTTTTTCTTCCTCTTACTTCATTTTTATTGTCTGTTTTCTGACAATAAGCGTAGCAAACTTATCTTTTTGATGACTTTAGGATTTTTTTGATTCAAAATAATCATTTCTGGAATTTAAAAAATCATCTTTTTTCCATTTCAGATGACTTACATACGACAAGAATATGAACTGAAACTTAAAGGGCTGATGCCAGTATCTCTCAGGCAAGAACTTGAAGACACCATTTCCTCCCTAAAGTCACAGGTAATTCCTAGAGGCAAGGCATTTCCCAGGACATAGGCAATGTATACATTCTGAGATAAGACTTCAATCAAATGTGATTCTGAATTGTTGACAGAAATCAATAGGGTGTCCTAGCATAACAAACCACCCAACATGAATCAATCTTCCTCTTGTTTTAACTTGGTTTTCTCACAAGCCTCCTTGAAATTAAAGAGTTCAGTCACATTCCATTCCAGCATCACCCTCTGTTCTTGTTACCAGGTCCAAAATCCCACTGCAAACAGCATGTGGCCAGTTCCTCCATGTTCTAGGTTCAGGGGAACAAAAGCAACATTAAATTAGCAGCATTTTTTTCTGATATATTTTCAATGGTTGTTTCTTAGGGATAAGATGGATTTTAAGCACAAGGCAACACGGCAAGGTATTCAAACAGTTGGGTTAAATATTAAAATAAATTGTCCTGCCAAGCACCAGTGGCTTGCACCTTTTATTTTAGGAAACTAAGATCCGAGGGTCGCGGTTCAAAGCTAGCCCAAAAGTCTGTAAGACTCTTAGCTCTAATAAATTACTCAGAAGAAGCTGGAAGTGGCACTGTGTATCAAGTGGTAGAACTAGCCTTGAGCTTCTTAGTACCCAGGCCCTGAGTTCAAGGCACGCACTAGCAAAAAAAAAAAAAAAAAAAGTTGTTTTTAGTATAGCTCATTAAGATACAACGTGAGAGATAAGCTAGCCTTTAGGTAGCAAGACCCTGTCACAAAAATAATGTGAGAGATGCATTTTTAACTGTATATTTCTGTGTTATGTGAATGTTCTATGTGTTGCTGGTATAATGAGGTGGGTTTTTTTTTTCAACTATCACCTTAGAGAGTCCACAAAAGCTCATTTTCAGTACACTGAGAAATTTAAGACATGCCCCTCCTGCAAAGGTTCCCGAGGGAAAGGCTGTCTGTCTTTGCCATGCCAAGATCTGTGCCTGGCACATAGCAGGTGCTCCATCCATTTATTTCCAAATAAAATAAACAATATAATTCTCTAATGTTCCCATTCACATTTTATAATATACAAGATGAAGTGTGAAGTCAATTTTAGCTGTTCTTTTCTATTCCCTGCAAAAAAAAAAAAAATTCTCTTATGTGAAAGCAAGATATTCATTCTATCAACCCTGCTGCTGCTGTCTCTGGTGGCTTCTATAGGCTTGATAGCTAGTAGGAAGTTTCACTCTGTCTACTCCTGCATAGAAAACGTAAGTGTGGGGATGAGACTGTTGACATAAGGGGTTAAGTAGTTTTATTTACATGAAAAGCCCTCCTGCAGGTGCTATTTATCCATTAATTTTATAGGGGCCTCCGTAGGATCAGCCCAGGAAGGGACACCCTCAGAGGAGTTTTTAATTTGGGATGTGGGGAGAAGAAATCCGATACCCACCTGCAGGGCTTCTGTTATCATTCATATCATTTCACTGTAACAAAAGCCACTTCCACCTCCTGAAACTGGGTGTTGACCAAGAGAGAGAGCTCTGCCAGCTGTGTTAGGGCCTCAGCATTGGCAACTGCACGGAGGAGTCACAGGCCATGGAGCAGGGAGCAGTTTGAAAGCACAGGTGCCTGTATTTTGGGGGGGTGGAAGGGAGGAGAATTGCTGGAATTCCTATTACAGTGTTGGGTGGAGGAGGAAATTGAAGCAGAATAATCCTTGCATCTGTCAAAATTATCAATTGTCCGTGGGTCATTTGAACAATTGGACAAAATTCAGTACAGTGTGTGATTACAAATAAGCAAACCACTTTGATAGGCGCCCATTTGGGAAGACTGCTTTGCTCTCCTTCAAGCACGGTTTTTCCTTCTGCCAGCTGTACTCTTGCATAACTATGCTTCAGAATCAGCCGTTGCCATGGTTTCCGTTCAGACCAAAGAGGCAAGAGTAAACAATTCTGAACGGATCAAATGTCACTGACTCTTGGTTACATTAAACCATGGTATAAGTTAACCCTAAACTGTTTATGTTAGGCTGTGTAAGGTGCTTTTTTTTTTTAATTTATGCCTTATAGATGTCTTTAATCATATAGAAATGTATGCTTCAAAATAATCAAATGCTTTATAAAGGTCTAAAAGGCTGGGAAACCCAGTTTCTTGTTTCCCAGCCCCCAAGAAAGAAAGTGTAAGAGTGGTACCTGCCATGAGGCCTGCACATGGCGATGTCTGTTCACCCTTTTTAGTCGCCCTCACAGCCCTGGGGAGGAGCTGCCATTAGCCCCACTTCACAGATGAGGCATCAAAGAGCCAAAGCAACTTTCCAAGAGCTCTAGAGGCCAAGCCAGGAATTGGCTGGACTCCAGGCAAAGTTCAAGCTCTTTCCACTACAAAATACTGTCTCTCCAACCTCAGGGAATACTCAGAATGGATTGGAGTTTCCAGAAAGCAGTCATTTTCTTTTTACTCATTCATTCATTCATTTAAACAGCTAGTGAATAGCAGCTACATGCGCAGCCCATAAAAGAAACTGAGGAAACAAAGGTAAAGATAGCCATTTCTGCCTCAGGAGAGAGAGCTCTTAGGTTTGAAGGAGAAATATGAAAGCATGGAACCATGAGAGCATGAGAAAGAGGCCATTACAGAATACAAGAATACACTGGCCTGGCACAGAGCTACCCAGGCACGAGCAGTGGGAGGAGCAGAGGAGCAGGAAAAGGAAGCGGAGATAACTAGCCAAACATTCCAATGAGAGAAAATTGCCCATGCCCAACAGCAACCGAGTGTGAGTAACACAGTGTGTAAAGTGGCAGTGGGCGAGGACATGAGAGAGAGAAGAGGCCCCAAAGATAGGAAGAGGCCAAATCAAAATGACTCTCTGGTACAGAAAATCATTCTGTAGCCTCTGATGGGTTTTTTTTTTTTTTTTAGTAGGACTAGGATGTGGCCAGGTATTGTTTAAAAACAACAAAAAGAAGAGGGGAAAAAAAAAACGAACACTGCTACTGAACAAATCATCTGAGCTTTATCTAGGGAATTGTCTGGCTTTAAATAAAACCCTACCATTCCATATCATTCCATATGTATAGTATTGACATTTGAGCCACATTCACCTTTTCTCACACCAGGTGTCTTTTCTAGGTTAATTTTCTGCAGAAGAGAGCATCCATCCTTCAGGAGGAACTGACAGCCTATCAAGGGAGAAGGTACGGCCCACAGAGCAGAGGCCTTTCCTAGTAGTTTGTGTTGTTTGTACCCGAGAGTCCCCTGGATTGACATTGAAGTCTTGATGCAAGGGCTAGACACAAAACCAGTTTAGAAAGTAAGACACTTTCTTAGTAAATAGCCTGCCTTTGAGAAGTGACCCACCTCTGTTTATCACAGGGCTTGGTCAGTCCCATCAGATCAAGATGAGAGAATCTGCAGGGAGTGGCAAGAAGAGGCCTCACCTGCGCAGTCAGGCAAGATGTGGTCTTGAAGCCTGGATATACAGGGTGATGGAGACAGCCCTTCCTTTAAGACTGTGAGATGATGCAATTCTTGCTTAATGGCTCACATCTTCAAAGTCCTCTATCCCCTGGGGGTTTGGAGCTGTTCTCCAGACCAGAATAGATCAATGGCTTGATGATGTCAGTGATGTCGAAACACTCACCGAGATCCAGTGCCCCCAGTGTACAGTGCTCAGGAATGCCTGAGACCTTTTTAATCAAAGGTTCCCAGTGACACCACCGACATGGATGATATTTACCTGCTCCAGTTCAAACAACCTTAACTTTGAATGCAATGAGAGATTGAACCACTTACTTGGCACTGAATTAAAAGGAACTGGCTTGTAAATCATTCACTTTTCAAAGGATGCTGTTTGCCTGTTACAGATAAGATATGATCTCTTCTAGGCATAAATGATGAAAGTTTAATATCAAATATCGTTTTAAACCCCTAACTCCTTCAGATTGGTACACATGTTATAATTGACTGACCTATTTAATCCAAAAGTCCTAACTGAGGATTTTGGTTTGCAGATAACTGCATGGAAAAGCATGATGGATGCAGTTACCCAGACTGAGCCGGGGACTTCTCCCAACAGGTTTGAAGATTTGGAGATTGTAAGGAAAGCTGTGAAATCGGTGGCATTTAATACTGAAGTGTACTTTAAGATCATAAAAGCACATGTCATCCACACTAGTGGGATGGTTTCATTTGTGTCTGCCCAAGTTATTTGTTCAGCATCCCTTTATTTCCGATTTCCATATTTGTGTACACTGAGTGTGTGTCGAGAATTAGTTGTATTGGGAAGACAAGTGATTTTTTTATTATATGCCTTGTTATTGCTTTGAGTCGTTTTTATCAGTTAGGTATGATCAAAATCACGTTTGTAGTATCATATCAGAATTTTTAACCTGTTTGTTTCCATGTTTCTGTTCATCTATTATTAAAATATCATTTTGTACTTAGCAGTTTACTTTCTACTTTTTAACACATCTCATTTGTTAAAATAAATGTGACATATATAGGTGGTAATTTTTCCTATCAGACTTGGGAGGGAAATGCCTTGTGTTATATCAAAGAGCAAATCCATAATTAATGCATGAAATTGGTGCTTAGAATGAATTCACTGAGTTATCTTATCTGTGTTATATTGGTCTTCAGTCTGGTTCTGGAATACCAGAGACAGCATAGTGTTGGAGTTTTATGCAGGTAGCTCTGGATTGACTGTTACTTTTTCCCTCACTCCATCTTTCTCTCTCTGGTACTTTTTATTGGCTTATATTTAATTGAATGTAATAAGGGGTTTCATCATGATCCTGTTACTTCCTTAAACTCCCTTTTTATGGTTCTTGTTTTATCGGTTGGCTGTCTTTAAGAAATCCCAACAGTACAGGGTCAGTCACAGCATATGCTTCCTACATCCAGTTTGCTGTGCACACCTTCTCATTTAGAAAACATGGTGGTGTTCCTACGAGTGGATGTTTAAAGTCTGAGTCTTTCTTCCCACTGAATGCCGATAAGCAGCTCTATTCTAATGTGCCAACCCTGATTTGCCAAAGAGATTTTGAATTACCATTGATGGATGCTCCAAATTCTCATGAATAGTCATGATGCCTGCCGTGCACCTCTGAGGCACTAAAAATCTGGCTCTAGCTGGGCGCCAGTAGCTCATACCTGTAATCCTAGCTACTCAGGAGATCTGAGGATCTGGGTTCAAAGCCAGATCCATCAGAAAAGTCTGTGAGACTCATATCCAATAAACTATAATTTTTAAATGCCATTACTGGAGCTGTGGTTCAAGTGGTAGAGTGCTAGCCTTCAGCAAGAAGAAACCCAGGGACAGCACCCAGGCCCTGAAATCAAGACCTAAGGCAGGCACAAAAAAAAAAAAATCTGGCTCTACTCATCTGGTTTATTATAGAAGGAGGACAAAAAGGTTGTTTACACTTTTTTTTGAAGTCTTTTTTTTTCTCTTTTCCACACCTAAACTCATCTTTTGTTTGCTGCTCAAGGATTAATACTCTTTTTTTCTTTTTTTTTTTCTCTTTTCCACACCTAAACTCATCTTTTGTTTGCTGCTCAAGGATTAATACTCTTTTTTTTGGAAGTAACACATTTCATGGCTACTTCCAAAGCCAGGCCCAGGCCAGAGGCAGCTGTGTGGCGGCCATCTGTGGGAGGCTGGTATCTTGCAGTAAATCATCTCTGTGGGGTCACCACACTCCCCTGACACCTCTTCCAAGAACAGAAGTTTCTGTCCTGTAGAAGATCAGATTCATCTGGCACATATGCAGTGCATTATTACAGTGGATTCAAGAATATTCAGGAAAAAGCAAAATTACAGTATGTGCCACTGAAACCACCTCTCAGTGAGGACAGTTGGAGCTGAGGCTGTGACTTAGTACTTGGGAAGAAAGATTAAGGCTGCATGATGAATTTAAAGTACTTGTGTACAGACCATGAAAAGCAGGCCATGGCTTGGCAGATTTCATTAGTAAGGTTACTAGCTGCTGGAAGTGAAAATACTTTGTGAATTGTATGTTGGAATTGGTAACTCCCACTCAGGAATATTTGTTTTCCATGAGTAAATATCAGTAGGTGTTTTGGAAATTTGCCTGCTATTCTTTCTTTTCCTTATTTCAAGGGTTATGAAATTACAAACACTGGTGAACCTTTGACATTGCCCAGATCCTGTTCCAGCCTTTCTTGCAGCCCGTCGTGTATGTCTGAGAATAAAGCAAATGAAGCTTTGAGTCAGGTTGATTGGATGTGATGCGAATGTATGGTTCATGCTTGTGTTTTCGTGAATGTTCTCTGATAAAGGAAGAAAGAGAAAAATGGCATCTGGCATGTTTGAAATTCCTTACTGAGTTGAACACTGAGTATATAAATGGCTACTGGGAGTGAAAGCAAATGCTTGTGAAATAAATTATGAACACTGTGCCTTATTATAAAATCATCTAAGATTTCATCCTTTCTTTTATCTGGTGGAAGATCAATTGTTCATCACAAGTATCTAGTTTAGTTCCATCTCCAGGTATTATTGTTGGCTGGTGCACCTGTGTATCCACCCGTGCTTTTGGTATTTCAGCACACAACTGTCAACAGGTTGCAGCTGATAAAGCATTTGGAACGTGTGGAGTCGAAGGAAAGCTCTGGGACTATAGAGTGGTTGTTGGGTGATAGTGTCTGGTGTCTCTCCAGAGGTCAGGAAAGGAAAGTGTTCCCAGGGAAGAAGCTCTTTAGTCAACTGCAATAGCGCTAGCATTGATTCATTCCACCATTTCTGCAGTGATGCCCCCAAGGAGAGGAGGGCCTGACAGCTGACTCTGCAGCCTCCTCACTCAAAATTGAACCCTACAGTGGGTAGCCATCTAGGAACACATTGGAGACAAAGGATGTCTTGGGTACAGGGGACAGAGTATGAACAGGCTTGCATTATAGATAGTACAAAAGAGCCAACTGTGGCTCGAGGGAAATAGCTCAGATGCAAACCTGATCCTGTAATGTCTCATATGAACAGTGATTTCTTCAGAAATGGGTGTGTGCTTACACTGGTGAGAAACCTCATTAAAGAAGCTGGAGAGGAAAGTGCAGAAAGGAGTAACTATGGGTTTGAATTAACAATTAACAGCTCCTTCATTGAAGTGCATCACCAGCCAGAGAAGGCAGTGGGCATGTGAGATTTCTGTCTACCAGTAAAAAGGAAAGGTAAAACATCAAAAATGGTGGGAGAAAAGTTTCAGAACACAAGGTCATTTTAATTCATAGTTTCCTAAAAAGAACCATCTCTTCTGAGCTTTCATATTTTGTTCAGAAAGGTCGTCTCTTTTAAGCCTTGTCATTAAAGACAGTTTGCTCTTTAAAGTGAATTATCAAAGGGTATAGAAATTGCAAGTTACTGAAACTAAAATGCATGATCAATTTTAAGTCTGCTAACTAAAGCCTACTTAAATTTGGATGTGCTTTTGTCCTGGCAGCCCCTTTGATAAAACCAGGGAAAGCTACATGGTTGGCCAATTCAAAGTAGGGAAAGAAGATAATTAGATAAAACTTTTTCAACTATGGAAGTAGGTCTTAGCTTTGGAACCTTGATTAGGAAGCTGTGGCAAGTGTAATGGTATGTGAAGAGTAAAAATTGAATACCCCAGATTTTTACTTAGTTAGTATTAAATGTCTTTACTATATTATTTTAAAAACAGAATCAATCTTCAGATCATATTAACTTGTCATATAGAGGAAGGAATGAAATTTGTAGCTATACTAAAGAAACCTTAAAATCTGGATCCCTCCCAAATACCTTATTCAGTTGGGTATTTGTTCATCCAAACATTTCAGTTTTAAGCAAGGTTTTCCATCTGGCAAGTGTTTTAAAATAAAAGACCCTAGATGTTGTTCTGGATTCTTCCACTTTGAGAACCAAAGCTTAGTCTAAACTTGAGGTGAGTAAAGAGTCTACGTTTTGTGGGGGAATTAGCCACTTAAGAAGGATCTCATGGAAAATAGCTTGTTGAACACAAGACTATCATAGAACACAAGGAAGACTGCGTTGGCTATATTTAATTAGCTAAAATGTGGTTTGTGAATAAAGCCATCCTGTCCATACCAATGGGCCTAGAAACTCCTGTATTCTGTTAAAGACTCTCTGCAGAGTTAAGGGTAGAGGTCAAAACCCAGCAAAACCAAGTAACTGCCCATTTTGAATCTTATTTAGCAGATTTTAACCTAGAATTTCCTAAAATGATGGATTTTTTTTTAGCCTGGGACCCATGTATTTTATTATAGGTTTCTGTGAAATAATTGATACAGAGAAGCCTCAACCTAATTACTAAAAAGTTCCTTCCTATTCAAAATTTCTGTTGATCTGTGTTGCTTTTCTACATTCATTGATTAGCCATCAAGTTGGGAGTTTAGAAATACCTCTTAGGAAGCCCTGAATTAGGAAAATTCCATAAGCCTGTGTCTTCCTCTGTGATACTTTCAAAAGATGATAACAACCATAGTTTAATGTTTGTTTTCCAACTTTTCTCTGTCCAGGACTTGGTAGGCAGCACCACTTATTGTAATTATCTTAGTGAATGTGTTAACATAGATATCTGCCAAAACGCATACCCGAGCTTGAGATGGCTTTCCCTTCTTTCATGGGACTGTCCGGCACGTGGAAGGATGTGGACTTGATGAGCCTAAGAGGAAGTTTCCAGAACCACAAAACACTTAAAAACTACTCAGCTAAGTAGAGCATAATCATCTAGATAAACAAATGAATCAGCCTTCTAATTGCCCATTAGCTTTCTCGGCACCGCAGTGGAGTTATCTCTGTTTCTGCCTCAGCCCATCTCCTGTATCTCTCCTCTCAGCCTGAGATGGGTGGGGGATGTAAATATGTTAACTGAGGCAAGTGCCAAGTGCCAGGAGTGCCGCTGCCTCTCTGCTCTGCCTCTCCCCTCACTGTCCCCCCCTTCCCCACCCTGTTACTGAGCACCCTGGATCACTGGACAGTTCTTGATGGTTGACCTAACCTTAGTGATCAGCAAGGGTTTTGAAAACATCGAAAATTGACTAGAGTTCATCTCCATTCAGCAGGCAGAGCCCAAGAGTTTGAGGGTGAACGAACAATAGGAAAAACAGCATTTCCTTAGGAAAAGAAAAGCATCTTAACAGGAGGATAGTCAGTCCTGAGAACCTTGCA